GAAAGGCTCGGAGTTTTATTTGGCTGGGTAAGAGCCTTAAATCAGGGGCAATTATTTGTTTTCAAATTTTTATTCTCACCATTCCCCAGTGGTGCTTTTAATGCAAGACATCATTTTTAAGCAACACATGAACAGAAATGTGGGAGAGTGTATAGCTCTGTCTCGCCATCCACATCAAATGCAAATTTCTTCTCCTGGCTTTCAAACGTCTCCAGTTTCCTCAGCTCCAACCTGCCTCTACACTCCAAAAGATTTCTTTCTTCAGTTCTGTAACTCTGAATTTCCCTTCACTCCACCAATATCTTTAGCAAAACTCATTTTCAAGGCATGCATACTCGTAGCGTAAAAATCTTCATCAGCCAAATACTGCAGTCCACTTCTATTTTTTCTCTAACATCAGTATTCTCACTTGCCCTTGCCAGGTAATGCTTTAACAAATTCTGCAAAGCCCAGCATACAGAATTTGTGGGATTGGTCTCTTTGACTATGAATTGTTCTAGAGTGGAAAACTACACCAGATTCTGTTCTCCATCCAAAAAGAGTAGATGACTGTTAATCCACTGATATAGTTCAGTTATTCTAGACCTTTTCAAATTATATTGCAATGAGGTTCTAGTATGCTGGTTTAGCTGCTTACATACATGCTCCTGTCTATGTACATAATAACAGTATCAACTGACAAAGTATTGTGCTTGCAAACACGTACAGATTATGTATGCAGGCATAGTTATGTGGATGTAGCATGCTGAAACCCGAGGTTTCAGCTTTTCTTTTTGGTCTGTCTATTTTAAAGGACTGTTAAAGACAAGAGTTCTTTTCTGAAGCCCATTACACATTAGCTTTGCAATCTGCACAGTCCACAGTACAGAAGCAGTGGGCTGAGGACAAGTGGGTTTCCAACCCATTCGGTTCTGAGACAAATGCAAGCCACGAAGAGCAGCAGGGCTAACCCAGGCAAAGACTAAGCCAGATCATACGGAGTAAGGCTAGAAGCAAGTGTTGAGGTATCTGTCTCTTCCTGTGCTGATGAAAGCAGTTAGAGTAGCTCCTTCCCCAGGAGAAATATTCTCTTTTCTCACTAAGATTCAGAATGAGAAGTCTCAGAATTACAACCTGTTTTCTCCTTCAGGTCTTTGTTAAAGAGGGAACGCTGATGAAAGTCTCTGGAAAAAACAAGCACCCTCGCCATTTGTTCTTGGTAAGATTTCTTTTATATTTCTACTGTTTGTCTCATATCTTCTCCTGCACTTAGGCAGCCCTGAACCCTGGCAGAAACTTTCAGGCCGCAAGTCATTTAACCATCAGCAGTGACGTGGTGAATCAGTTTCTGCTGCTAACGGGGCTGTAGCCCTTTTCACACATGTCCTACTGGCCCTGCATACAGGAATATGGGCTGTGCAGCCCTCCATTTGTGCCACAGCTTGCCTAGGCCATAATTTTGCAAAGGAGTGCAAGTTTCCAAGGTGATCAGGAGGATGGGAGCTCCTGAATACTTTCAGCAATTAAGCTTCACACTTGAAAGTCCAACCCTAAGGCCTTAGGAGATCTGATTAGAAGCAACAGAGAATATCCTACTGCTAAAGTTTATGAAAGCCTTCTTTGGGCTCACTTGAAGCTCAAGGACTGGGTTTTAGTTGCTGCTGTCCACATCTATGTAAATTACCTGATAACTGTGTGCATTGCCTCGGTATAGTCCCTCTGGACACAAACCTCCAGCTTCCTGTTGATTAGAGCAACAGTTTTCAATGACAGTTTGCAAAATTCTTCTAAGATAGTTAAGAAAAATGAACCTTTCATCAGTTGGCTGGAATACCCTTCACAAGGGTCCACAACCCTACTGCAAAAATTGCAAGTATCTGCAAACCAAAACCGATTAAAACCCACTGTTTTGGAGATATGCTATTAACACTCATGCTTTCTGTTTTGCATTATACACTACACTGAGCAGTTAGAGAGTATCTGAGACTCCAGGCTCCTGAGCTCTGTCCCCAACTCTTCAGGTAGCTTATTGTGTAACCACAGGCATTTTTATGCATTTATCGGTATGAAGGGGAAAATAATACTTCCCTGTGTCTTAGGAGTTTGTTACCTGCTTACCTGTTAGTGTTTGAAAAATTCTTTAGAGCTCCTTCCCAGAAAAGAGCCATAAAGAACTGAGCATTACTGCTGCTACTAACATTAAAGTAGTTTGCAGAATTTATTTTAAAATAAATGGCTTATATGCCTGGAATACGCATTTGCTGTGGCCTCTGTAAGCGCTGACAGCTTTTCACCCTGGGACCATTGTGAGGAGGAGAGATGGGTTATTACAGAGGTCATATATTTTGCCATTAATTCTTCTTATTTCTCCCTCTTATTAATATTTCCTATTTGTGCATGAGTGGGTGCACAAGCTTCTTTGCCTCCTCGATCATGTATTGCAGTAATAATCAAAGATCAGATGGGATGGGACACAGTGCTGGCACTGCGCTTTTCTGATGGCTTCATTGGTTTCTGTGAAAATTCAGACTTTCATGTACTGAAAGTGATGGATTTCACCCAGGTCTTGAACTATGAGATTGCTGCAGCGCTGTTTTACTGAGTTGGCATCAATGGACTGTAACAACAGCAATAAATGTCAGTATCATGACTTTGTTGCAGCCAAGGAAAAATGGCCATGCCAGAATCTCCAGGAGCTGATCTTAAGAAACAGTGCTCTCAGCAATAGTAACTCTGAAGCCTACTGACGACCACTTCGTAACAGATCCTACTTGCTTCCTTATGATCTCTCTTCTGAAACACTCACCTTTGCTAGTATTACAAAAACATTTTGGACTTGTGACTAAAGCTGGGACCAAATTCCAAGAAGTTGTTACCATTTCGTCTTCCAGTGTGTTCGTAACTGCCATCATAATCCGTTACTATGGCAAATACTGAAGTGTCACAAACCTAGCTGTTATAACTGATATAGAGCATTTAAAAGGAAGATCAGAAATCACGTTGCTAATAAACATTGAGAGGAAAGTATTTTAAACTTGGGATAAACTGAGATAAATTTCAAGTAGTCCAAAATGGTCGTATCAGCTTCAAGGTCACAAGAGGCTGAAAGTATTACTGGAACAAAGAAAGCACAGAAATTAGTTTCTGGCACTTTCTAGTTTAGGAACTATTTTTGATTCCTGGGGAGAGTTCAGCTGCTTAAACCCGGATGTTAACTGCAAAGACAGAGTGTCTCTTGGCAGCTGGAGACATTACAGTAGCCAATGTCCTGTTGTTAATAGATGCTCTCAGTATTCAGAAACAGCATTTTTTTTCTTCCTTTTCAGTCAGAAAGGCAAACTGTGACCACACATTCTGTCATGCAAAGTATGTGGTGGAGCTAGACTAAACCATAGTGGTCACTTTCAAGAACCAAGAGACACATGAAACTGGCTTCTTTCCTGCTCTAACACACTAAAGGTGCAACCACTTCAGGCTTCCTGTATTATGTCTCCTGTTGGGGGCTGGGCAGGGGTGATTGGATCTTGGAAATAGTTTGAAACTATCTGCCTTTGGGTTCAGTGATTTTTTTACGCAGTCTCCTCTACCCTGAAAGCTCCTCAGGTTGCAGAGCAATGCCATGTATGCTGAAATTGTAGAAAAGAGAATCACTGTGGAATATGGTAATTCCTGCATTAACACCTGAATGGTTTTGCATTATCTGCTTGTCACTGCTAATGCTGTGGATTCTCTGTTGTGCCACCACCACTCATGCCTTGCTTAATGGACTGTTTAGCCTATGGATACACTAAGACAACTACTGCATAGTGATGGCAAGATATTTTCATCTTGGCATATAGCATCTTTACTGCATCAGTCTTAAGGCCCCACTAACCATCACTGCCAACACCTTTTTGTAACAGCCAAGGCCTGCATGAACATATCCTTCCCTCTGCCAGTGCATCTAGCCCAACTCGCGTGCTGCCTTGATTCTGATGCCTGGGGACACTATGTGGACAAAGAACCCAACCAAAACCACAAAACCCCAAGACTAGAATAATCTCCTGAACACTGTCTCTTAAAATTCACATTTATTTAAAGCCCTTATCTTCCAAGGACCGTATCATAATCCTTTGAAGGCACTGGCAAAACTTAGGTAGGATATGAGTTTGTCCTATGTATTAATCAAAAAAACCTTTCAGAACTGGCTTTTTTTTTGATGCTTCACGTGTCAGCTGCCACTCAAAAAGATCACCAGAAGCTAACATGTACAGGTGTAGTTTGGTTTAGAAATAAGTGTATTTACCTTAGCTACCCAAAACAGATTTTTACATGAACAGCATTTTCTGAAGTTCTTAGTAGTGAACTTACTCTGACCGAAGCTGTCAAGCCCAAGAACTGGAGAGAATTTCAGTGGAAGAGTATACACTGAAGGATAACCCTGAGAATTTAACCCCTACACATCCCAGGAGATGAGCCCACCAAACTAAAGTTGTAGTTCGAATATGCTATAAAAATTGCGTGTGTGCCAGACTCCTGCTTCGCCTGTGTATTTAGGGTATGCTTTGGTGGTGTGTGTGCTTGTGCTCTGAATATATGCCCATAAGGAGCGTTGTATGTCTGTGCACAGCCCACACAGGCATGAGTGTGTAGGGGACACATTTAGGGGCTTCTGATGTGCATATGTTTCTGTGGCTGTACGTTATGTGTATCACAAGGTTACTTGAGCTGGCTGTTTTGTGCAGGCTGATGGTATTGTTGAATCTGGTGTTTCCTGGCAGGATGTTTGGTGAGTTTTGCTGTGTGCCTGTTTCCTGAGTCCGGTCTCTGTTTACAAGGATGTCGGGCCTCTTTGCAGCACAGTATGGGCTGCTGACACTGGCAGGGCCCCCCACTGCCCCCCCGCCACCGGACCTTTCAACTCTTATCTCACCCTTCCAAGAATTTCTCTACAAAGGCTGCTTGTGTTGCAAGTGGGGTGCGGGAAGCTGCTATCAAATGGGAGACTGTTTAACACTCTAGCTGGCAGGGCTGGAGTATAGGCAGTTTTGGAGTCAGAGCTTGGAAAATGCAGCCCCAGCATACATTCAGGCTGCTCTACTGACACTTGGGGGATGTTTCACGCAGAGTTGACAGGGTTCATAATGAACCACCCTTTAAAACATTCAGAAAAATCAAACGTGTTAGGAGCTTTCAGACAGGGAGTGCATTACATATGGATGCCAGTAGTTTAACAGGGCCTAGAAAAACTTCATTGGATCAATAAATTTGGACACTGTAGGTTAGAAAACTTGCACTGATCTCTAATGTTACTGGGTTCCTGTCACAACAGAGGGGATTATAAAAAGAAGGGAGGAAAAAGAAAAGTAGTAACAGAGAAAAAAGACAATTAAAGAGCAGATGTATCCTTCTTTGTGTTATCAACTATTGTTTTGGGGACTCTGTGTGTGCATGAGCAGTGCAGAATAGGAATATTTGCTCCCATATCAATATCTGAGCAGTTCGGGGATCCCAATTATTCAAAAGTTTTCTGGCAAACAGGAAGTGGGTCTGAAGCCCAAGGACTTCTGGGAACTCCCGTGGGGGTTGTGGCAGTCAATCTCTTCTACCACAGATTCCTGAGGGGCTGCAAGATCAGCTTTTATCGTGGCCCAGCACTCACTGCTTCAGGGAACAGCGTGAAGTGGGATGCAGCATGAAACCACTGGTACTGATGCTAGTTCTGTCCATGCAATTCATTTAGCCACCACTCAGGTCTCCAGTGTAGATGTGGCAAAGGAGACAGCAGCGAGTGCAAACCCTTTCTTTCTTCATGAGTATGTGTGTCTTGCTTAGCAAGCTTTGAAATATTTGTCATAATTTCATTGTGTCAAGCTGTTGCTGGTGGGACCTCAGAGTCACAGCCCACCACTATATGCTGTGGGGGAGAAAAACAGGAGGGAAAAAAACTCCAATGGGCAACTATAAAGCAAAGTCATCGCTAATGTTTAATAAAATCTTGCGATATTAACCAAAGCTGCTGTGACAATGGTATGCACCAGGGTGTCATCCTTAATCAACAGTGATAATGAGCTACTTTTAAGAAATATATAACTTTTAAAATAAATAAAATAAATGGAGTTTGCTGTTCAAGAAACCCAGTAGCACATTATGCCAGAATCCTGAAAATCTCTCTTAGGAGTTCACTTCCTTGGGCTTAGTGCCCATAACTAGTTACCTTTTATTGTGGTTTGAAACAAGCCTTAAGTACTGGCACTGATGAATGGCACAGAAGTCCTGTTTTCTCATATAATCCTTTGAACATTCACGAGACAGCAGAATCACCAGGCAAATATGAGATTTCACTAGTATTCTCTTATTTCACAGAGTATTCTCTTCATGTTAGCAATAAAGTCTGCCTGCCTTTTTGCCTTTGTCCCACCTGACTGCTGGAATCCTTGTTGCTACTATTAATATCAAGTGAAAATAACTTCCATCTGCTTTTCACTGAAAAGTTTGTATTTGCTCAGTTTTTTCTACCTTAGCCTCCTAGATACTCAGTGTGTGCAGTAGGTTGTGATGAATTTTCTGGTTATACATAGCCCTGTTTAAACTGGGAATGATCATGTGGTCAGTACTGTGCAGGTGTCACTGCGCTGATTGGATTAATGTTAGCATGGAGGGTAATTTATGGAGCAATAAGGAAATCACAGAAAAACTCTGTGACAAGTCATTTGTCACCTTGTTCTAAGGAAATTCTACTGTGTTGTTGCAAAAGGAGTAAATACTCCACTTTAGCCTACAGAGAAGAGAACATGAGACTCCTATTCTGACTTGATCATATGGTTTTACATCCTCAGTTGAGAAGTGTTATATAAAGAGCTTTAAACTCCACAAGAGTTAAGACTTACTAGAAGGACACAGAGAAATACACGGTAGAGTGGCCAATGCAGGAGAGCATGGGAGTCTTTTTGTTAAAATGTTGGAATGAAATGTTTCAGCATTTTCTACAAAAATATTGGCTGATCCTACTCAGTAAACTCAACTCAATTTTTAAAAGTAGTAAAATTTGAAGTAAAATTTTTAGGGAAAGTCACTCTTCAGTATATTTTACCTCCTGTTACTGGGAATCTGCTTTTAAGGATGGGCAGCTAATGCACATAAGCCTGATTTGCTGTGAATCAAACAGCTACTTAATGAACTGGTGTCCACGAGTGAACTCATGACCCTAATAAAGGCAACAACAGTTTTGCTGTTAAGTCCAAGGAGAAGGTTTTAATCCCATGAGTATTAATTCCATGTCATTTTTCTTTAACCATTGTTCCTGCTCTGTAAGAAAGCTGAACTATGACCTTTTAAGAAAACATCCATAAGGTTCCACTTTCGGGGTTTTTTTCAGGCAAGCAAATCAGCGAAAATTTTACACCAGCAGTTTTAGGTGGTCAGGCAGTACTATCAAGACCCCAACAATTCCAGTCATACAGGATACATTATTTTATTACCAAATGATTCTTTAGTTTCCTCCCTTCTTCTCTGCATCTCTCTTTGTCACAGTTTTTCCTTCCAAAATATAATATTATTACCATCCAATTGGCTATATTGAAATGTCTTTGTCACAGAGGAATCCAAGTGAAGCTGGTTTCTGTCTACTTTTTAATTTCTTGAGAATGTCTGCATTTAAGATGCCTTGTCTCTGGCATCACACAGTATTACCTATGCCTTGGTTTTACATTGCCTTGCATAAACTTGTTCATAGTATCCCAGTACAGGGGCTGTCTGAGGTTATACATATTGGTACTGATGTGAGAGGCCTGGGAAACACAACAAGAGAACACAACCCGCTCATTCAAGTAAAGCAGAGAGTGCATACACACAGGCATTACTTTGGCAATGCTAAGGCCCACCGATACTGCTATTCCTTCTAGTAGTAAGGGAAGCAGAGGCCACCGAAGACCTACAAGGTCCAGTTCTGCTCTTTCGTTTGTTTGTTGGCATGAAGGTAAAAGGCTGCAATAATGTCTATGATTGTTAGGCAAACAGCAGAGATCTGATCCCATTTATTATGAAGCTGTTTCAAGAACATGCATTCTGCAAGGAGCTGTGAGAACTATGGAGATATTTGGGGTGTTAAGGTACAGATTTTTTTTCCCTCATAAAATGGAAAAAAGTTTCTAATTTTTGCCCTTCCATGGTCTCTGCTGCAGCCCACAGACTCAGCAAAGCTGTCATATGTCTAGGCAAGTTTTGCTAGCAGTGAAGTACAGTTACTGCTCTCAAATATCCAAACCATTCCTCCCTGAATTATTCCTCCAGACTGTGGCAACTTTCCTCACCTCCACTTCCTTTTTGCCCAGAAAGTGGAAGTCCGTGAAGCCCAGCCCTACCCCTGGCCTCACCGCAGCTTCACCGTCAGGGGGACCCTGAGAGAGTCAGAGCTGCAGCATCCTAGGCAGTTAGTTGGTGTTGCCAGGTAGTAAATGCAGAGCCTGCCTTCCAAACTTGAATATGGCATTGCCCTTAAAACAAGCAGCTGTTTCATCCAAGCTGAATAAAAACCAGCTGATTATCTACTTGCTTAGCCATTAGCAACAGTCAAAAGTGGGAAGAAATCAAGGTCCTAGATGCAGACTCCCCAGAGTTTTGTGGCAATGCTGGTCTTCATCTAAGCTGTATGGCTTGGGCCTGTCTTTAGTAACATTCGTAGCAGTTCATCAAGTTACTGCTTGTTCTGTGTATCACCCCCCAGGAGTAATGGGCAGGCTTGCAAGCCATATTGCAAATTATTGATTTTGTCTTTCTCTTCATATAGATGAATGATGTTCTGCTGTACACATATCCCCAGAAGGATGGCAAATACCGACTGAAAAACACCTTGGCTGTGTCAGGCATGAAGGTAATGCCTCATCTGTATTATGGGCTGGAATTAAAAGTTGTATAGTGGGCTGTTAGTGCTTTGCTGGTTTACATGTCATATCCAGCTGAGGGCAAGAGGAAAGAGGAGATGGACCTGTTATCAGGGGATTCCCTTACCTCTTATAGGAGATAGAAGGAAAAACAATATAAAGCAAACATATAAAAGATTATCTATAAGGTTGTGACTTAGTACGACAGCCTCATTCAGGCTGCATAAATAATACAAGCCAAAATCAGATTTACCATCTGATCATGAAACTGGAGACAGAAAATATTTATTATCCCATTTTGTCCATTCCTCTGTTCATGTCTCCAGCAAATACATGGTTATTCCCTACAACATATTCACTAGGGCTTAGTCTGCATGGTTTTAAACTCCTGCCACTCAAAATTTACATAAGCTTTCATTTACCTGGTTTTCATGTGCCCTTTAACTGTTTTCATCAAAAGCATTAATGGGTTCAAAAAGTGATTAGCGAACTTTATGGGGAAAAGCTGTACTGGGAGCTATTATATGCAACGATATAAACACAGTCTCTTCTTCAGAAATTTCTAAAATGTAGATTACAGAAACTGGACACAATTGTCCTGTTCTTATGCTCTTTCCCAAAGCATCCATTGGCACCAGTATCTTTGCAACAGGAGATATTGGGCTCAAGGGGTCTTTGCTTCTTACCTAGCCATCCATTACATTCTTCCCGCCAAGAACCTTCATAACTGTTCTATAGCTAATATGCCAGGTTGTATTTATGTGAAAGAGGACTTGAAGTGGCAAGTCAGGAGTTTGGGGATCTAGGAAACATGCAAGATGAGAATTACTAATCATTAATTCCAGTGGAACGACATGGGTGGGTTGAGGTGTTATGAAAAGGTGGGAGGCTGATCACCCTAGAGACCTGATAGTCTAAAACTAACTACGGGTTTCCAGCTGGGGTAGGAATCCCCAAAACACTCTACTGTTAAGTGAAAAGGAGTTGTTTGTTTGGTGTGTTTGGAACACTGAGTCACTGGCATAATAGGTGCTTGTTAATGACAATGTATCAGTACCATGAAGCTATGTTTCTCCTAAGTTGCTATTAGTAGGCAACTAATACACTCGTTTTAGCTGAGCTGCAGCTTTTAAGTATTTTTTGCTCTTAAAGAGCCTTGCTGCAGACAAGCATTCACCGAAGTGCTTTGCTGTAAAATGTCTGCATGTCAGGAAGTTATTTCCATTCATTCCAAGAATAGCCCAAACTTTTGCCCAAAATGCTCTGACACTTGTCAGACTAAACAAGTCCTAAGCTTGTCATATTAAAACTGAACCCTGATTGATACTTCATCCTTACTTTCATAGTTGGATTAAATTATTTTTTTTTCCTTTAGCATCACTACCATATTGAAATAGAGAGCATTCCTCATTACACCAGCAATACAAAAGACAGAAATCCCTACCTGCCCATCTCTTTGCATTGAAATATGAAACAGATGGCTGGGACATCATAGATCCATATGCATTGAGACTTAAATGGTGTACTGGTTATAGACAGTTTAACTCATGTCCACATTCATGTTCATGGCATTTGTTTCTAGGTCAGCCGCCCAGTGACAGAAAAAGCCCAAAACGTCCTGAAGATTGAATATGATGAATGTTGCCTGACCCTGTCAGCAAGGTACTGTCCCCAAACAGCCATGCCAGAGGGTGTTATATTCTAGAGCTGTATCTCTAGATTAGTCTAACCAATACCCAAGACATAACTGGTGTCTCATTCTTATTTAACTCAATTTCAGTCTGAGCAGTTGTGACAGACAATGGCTGAGTGCTTGATTACACAATGAAGATATTCATTATAAATGTGAAGCTCATAAACTGTAACTAATTCAATTCATATACTGAGCAAAGATTAGAAGTCGGCTCTTGATAACATCTTAAAGAGAAAGAGAAGAAAGTCTGTTACTAAGAAGCCTGAGTGCTTTCCATTATCTTTCACACTTTTTGCCTGTGACACTAAGAGTATGTTACAGCTCCCTTTCATAAGTTCACTTGTTACCTCATACCACTAGGGCTGCAAAACCACTGGAGAAAATAATAATTAGGTACTATCATGCAATAGATATGAAAGCATTTAATAGTGCTAAAATGACAAAGCCAAAATTAAACCTTACTGGCAACCTCATGGGTCTTTCCAATAAAGGGAATTTCATTAATGAGTTTGTGTAGTGTTAGTACTGATTGCAACTGGGAGTCAGGATCTCTGTCATGGGATCACAAGCTAATGCCAGAAAGAGATTGTAGGTCAGTTTCTGATCAGAAGATAGCAGTGTACTGTATTTTTTCATGCTTCTAGCCCCAAATTATCCTGCAAATTTACCTAGAGCTACAGCAGATTGGTGGCTGGCTTGAGTTTCAGGTGTAGTTTACTACAAAAGACATAGTGCACTAGCAGTAGTATTAAAATTAAGTCTTCCAAATAACAAGGTCTTCAATGCTTTTAAGTGCTGACTTCCCCACCATCAGTCTCCAACTACAGCATGGCTGGAAATGCAGCAGACTTCGCTAAATTGCACAATGCAATGGAAAGACAGGGAGGGCACTTTCTTATTCAGAATCAGAATTCGGAGCGCTCATCCTTCCTAGACCACTTGCCATCTGTGGGCAGTACTCAGATACCTATCAAAGAGTTTTTGTCTATTTCCTTTTATAACCAGCAAATGAGAAAATATCTGAGATTTTCTTAGAGCTGCACACTCTTCACAACCCTCAAAATATACACGTTACTTCTGAATTACCTGCTGCCAGTTACAAAAGCAGGATGTGTACAGTCCTTTTGTATTGTAGAGAGGAAATAACTGCTGCATGTCCCCTTTATTCAGGGCAACTGCAGTTGGCATCCCTAGTGAGAAGCTTGGGATGTTCTGCTTGCATTGTTATGTTGTTTCTTTGCCTTTTGTACTCATATCAAGTCTGTGCTTAGTTAGCCTAAACAAAGCATACGAGGCCACTGCAAGCTGTGTTCCTTTGGTAGTAGATAGAACCAGGGCCTGAGACTAATGTTGCCCTTCTGATAACAGCTAGATGGAGACCAACTCTTATCAGAGCACTGGGATAGAGCCCCTCTCCCTTCCTTCTGCTGCTCATTCTGGGACCAATCTGCCATGAGTCACCCAAGAACACTTCTTCCTCTCCCTTTCTGTACTGGCTGGTAGAGCTGATGAGACACTGCTGGGACAGCATGCTCTCCTAAGCCCACTGCACAACATCCTTGGCCTGCTACACTCACCAAAAGGCACACCAAAGACAGAAAGTACCAGAAGGCTTCAAGCGTCTCTAAAGACTGTATCTTTTACTGCTCACACCGAGGTATTGCAAGTCTGCACTGAAGGCCAGTTGTTAACAATCACAACCCAAACCCCAATGTCTTTGTACTTGTATGAGACAAGGTGAATGCACTGAGGAAATACGGCATGAGTCCCAGTAGAATGAGCATGACCAAAGCTCAGAAGTCAGCGTGGCTATATGAGCAGATGGCACTGTAAAGTCTTTACATCTCCTGATGAAAGTGGCTTGTTCACCCAAAGAGCCATGTTAATGGCTTGCAGTGAGTGATCTGGTAACAGATCTGAGCATAGAGCCTTTATGGAGAAGGCTCATGCTGCTCTTACACCTTTATGTGCATTGAAAAAATGTTGTTCTTGAACACAGAGGTAACCATGCGGTCCCCATATAAAATACCAGAGCACTGGGAGAACGCAGTCAGTGCTACCTCCCTACAAGGCTAATTCAGAGTGACAGTGATAGCATTGTGACAAAATCCCATGCCAGTCCAGTTCCTGTGTTCCATGGATGTCCCCTGCTGTCCAGGAGACTGCAGTGACAATTTGACCCTCTCTTTCTATTTGCTTAAGGAAGAATATATGAGCCAACACAGATAACTGATAGCTCAGCACAAAAGGTGCAGCCCAAAAATCACACAAGAACCAAATGTGGCAGTGGTGAATCAAGGTCTGAGCTTCTCCGGGCCTCAGAGGTTCAGCAAAAATTCCTCTGAGCCTTCATACAACCAGTGAAATAACTAATTAAGAACAGGCCAGTCCCAACAGACATAATTCTTGCTCATCGGCAGACAGGTGTTATTGCCACATTTAGACACTAATAACCTGTGATTACTGCCTAAGATGTTTAATGGGGTGGAGGAGAGGTTAAAGGGGCCAGTTAGATAGCAGGCTTTTAATAGCAGATTGTCCCTCTTAATCTGTCTTTCCCAAAGTGGCTTTAATTTACATCACTATATGGGCTAAGATTTCCTTTGTTTTTTTCAAATCATATCTTAATTCTCAAGTGAAGAGAATTTCCAAGAAAGAATTAGCAAGAGAAAGGTTGAAGCCAGGACTTCTTTCAGTGCTTTGCAGGCTGCGAACATGATTTGCCTGGAAGATACAGACATCTTGAGATTTCTTAGAAAGTGTAATTTGACTTGACTTTTTGTAGTAATAAGAACTGACTAGTAGTGTCACTCTTGCCAGAGATGATCTCCTGTAACATAGTCCCTTGGCTTGCAGAGGTTAGCCTATATGCAGTAGATACACTGGCTCAGAGTTTCTGCTCCAATGTCTCCTCCAGGCTTGTTGAATTTTACAGAGGCTGGTGTTTTACAGACAAGGGCTTATGCTCATGGTGCAGAGGGATGCTAAGTCAGAGATCATGGATAAAATCTGGCATTTCCTCTCTTTTTGTGCTTTTTTTTTTTTTTCCTAAGACCACAAAAGACAAATTGTTCTCAGATGTCTTGTTTGGTGGCCTTCATGAAGACACTGTGAGGAAATCACAGCTGAACAGCAGCTGGCAATAATGCCACTGCTAATTTTTACAACAAAGTCTAGTGGGTAGCTTTAATGTGAGTGGCTGGTATGACTCACATATATATATATCTATCTATCTATATGGGAGGGGAGACCACACTGAGTCACATTCCCTCCTGTGACTGATGCTGGGAAGAGCTGGAGCTGTGCACAGTTTCAGATGGACAGGAAGTGCACAGTTTGAAGTCACAGTAGGAAAACCAGCTAACACAGGCAGGACAGCTTATGGCTGTAACAGAGCAAATGCATCTGGGAAATAACAGGCACTAAGAGCCCTGCTGCTTTTCTGGGATAGCTGGACTGGCAGAGAGGCACAAAGTGCTCACTGTTTTGCCTTGTGCAAAGGGGGCATCTAGGGGCCAGTCTGGAGAACTACTGGCCTCCATGCATAACTGCAACTAGAAGGAATGCAGAACTTCCTTCCCAAATTGCTGTCCTGGCCTCTTGCCAGGAGACTGGAGATTGTCTGTGATGGAGCCAGAGGAAAATGAAAGCATTCACATCTCCACTGTGCGTGACAGACTTCCGAGTTCCCAACATGCAGATCATCTAAGCATCCCACTGTAGAGATGGGCATAAACATGCTTACTTTGAGCAACCCATGCCAACATTACATGCACTAGAGCGCCTAAAAGCTAGGGCAGACATGACAAAACGAAACATTTCATATTGTCCTATGTGATCTAGGATTGAGTGGCTTATAGCAAAGGCAGAGACTACTCTGAAAAATTTTCTGAGCATTTAGTTCCTTCTCAGTCACAGTCCTAACCATGGATCTACACTAACCATCCCACTGAGTACGTCCAACAGTCAATTTTGTTCCTGGTTGGAAAATTAGCAGTTCAATGCAGTAGTGGGGAAAAGCAAACATTCATAAAGTGCATCTTTTCTCCTCTGATCCAGAAACAGCTTGTGTCAGTCCCTGCTGTGCATGGCATTGACTGCTGTGCTGTATTTCATTCCACAGCTCTTGCTCGGAAAGGGATGACTGGTACAGCTGCATCAGCAGACACATCCCAGATGACTACAAAGCTCACACCACTTCCACTTTCCACAGCAGCGTGGAGGTAAAAGGAGGCCAACTCTTTCAATGCTTGAAGGGGGAACGGGGAAGGGAGAAAAAGGAAAGGAGGAGGGTTATAAAAAGCAGATTTCCTAGCGGCAAGACATTCTTACTATTTTCATTTAAACCAGTATGCCAAACTTTAATAATGAAGCTCATCACAGCTCATGGGACACCTCTGAAGTGTTAATCACACTCTATACTCTGTGGTCTTTGCTTAAATAGGAGTTCTTCTGGAGGAAGACTATTTTGTCCTAAAGGGTAACTATTTTGGATGAACTAAAAGTAGCTACAAACTTCATAGATTTTAAGAAAACAAAACTACCCATTAGTTACACTAGTATACACACAATAAAGTCACTGCCAGTGCAAACCCCACCAGCAATATTCTAATTGTACCAGCACAATTGATGTATAATATTGTTATCTCATTCATTTCAGTTGTACTACTCCCAGTAAAGGCAGCAAAGAATGCATATGACAAAAAGTAAAAATGCTATTTTAGGTTATGTAGAACCCCAGTTTTACTAAATAAGACTAACTGGGGAAAAAAGGAGTGCTGTTAAGGCCACACCTGGAGTGCCGTGTCCAGCCTGGGCTCCCCAGTACAAGAGACACACGGACATACTGGAGGGAGTCCGATGGAAGACCACAAGGATGATGAAGGGACTGGAGCACCTCACAGCTGAGGAGAGGCTGAGAGAGCTGGGACTGTCCAGCCTGGAGAAGAGAAGGCTCGGGGGGGTCCCCTCAGGGTACAAAGCAGATGCAGCCAGGCTCTTCTCAGCGGTGCCCAGTGACAGGACCAGAGGCAGTGGGCACAAACTGACACACAGGAGGTTCCCTCAAACATCACAAAACACTTTTTCACTGTGAGGGTGACCGAGCACTGGTACAGGTTGCCCAGGGAGGCTGCGGAGTCTCCATCCTTGGGGATATTCAGAAGTTGCCTGGACACGGTCCTGGGCAGCTGGCTCTAGGTGGCCCTGCCTGAGCAGGGGGTTGGACCAGATCACCTCCACAGGTCCCTCCAACCTCAACCAACTGCAATTCTATGATTTAATTTTTGAAGACTTCAGAAAGTAAAAAGTTAATTCAAAAAACAAAACAGGATTTTCCTTCTGGCCTGAAGTGAATCTACTTTCAAATATATAACAAGAAAAAATTAGAAATTAGTTAGTACAGCAATCTAAACCAAATCCTTAACAAATGAAAAAATAATTTTTTTTTGTAGCTCTGCTTCTGATGTAAACCTGAATGTGCGCAAGGAGAAACTTGGAGGAATTTGATTTTTGTGTTTAAATCCTACTTGTCTGCAGAAGTCTAATTTCCTCATAGGACACCCTCCTAACAAACAGTCCTTCAAAGGCACAAGAGCTTGTACTACTTGTGCCAAACACTAAGCTTCTGTGAACTGACAGCGGGGTGCCCATAATACTTTGGTGCTCAACCTGAAGTAACACAGCTTCTCAGCATGCCTTATTAGATTGGGTTCAGTTCCACATTGACCATGGCTCCCTGGGCTTGGAGCAAAGGCACCTGTACAACACTGCAACATGGTGAATTCCAAGAAATAGGAACAGTGAATACATTTTCTAAAGCTGCTTACATACATTCAGATCAGCAATGGAAAGCATGGATCAGATTTGAATTGTATGGGGGTAAATTAATCTTTGGTTTTACTGTTTTCTGTACCCTCTCTTCCCCAATCATAGAATTGTCCCAAGGTGTAATGACATAAAGAGCTCAGGCCCTTTCTGAATGAAAGCTATAGAGCTTTTTATGGATATTATTTCAAAAGCTGTTAATAAAAAGATGGCTTTAACTTATGTTCTTACCTGCAATTTGCATATGCAATGATGATCCTTCTCTGATGTGGGAGCACATCAGTGTCTGACTAATAATAGATCTACACAGATTTTTACCTGTTGTGACTCTGGCTTTAACAGCACCATGTACTGATTGGACAGTCTTTCAGTGCTGAAGCAGCTGTATGTCACTTAAAATGTGCATTAGGAATTAGAAAATTTGGGGATCATAGAATCATAGAATCGTTTAGGTTGGAAAAG